GTCATGGTTCACAAGGATGAATGTAATAATACCAATGAAATGAGGTTCCTGATAAAACTTCCTTTTTGACTGCTGACAACCATGCCTAACCGTTCTTTACATTTTGTCGTTCAATAGGAAGAGAAAGCAGAAGTTATTCAGACATTGCTATTTGTTGCTGGTTTGAACACACTACTACAGACAACATTTGGAACTCGATTACCAGCTGTGATCGGAGGATCTTACACCTTTGTTGCACCAACTATTTCCATAATCTTGGCTGGTCGATACAGTCAAGAACAAGATCCTATAAAAGTATGTGCCGTAAAACGCATTTGTTGTTATTGATAAATGTTAGGAAAGTTGAATGCTGAAACATCTACTTTGCTTAATTTGAGCAATTGTCTGTCTGACACATAACCTCTTTATTTCTCAACAGAAATTCAAGAGTATAATGCGGGGAATACAAGGGGCTCTAATTGTTGCTTCAACCCTTCAAATTGTACTCGGCTTTAGTGGTCTTTGGCGTAATGTCACAAGGTGAGTTTACGATTGATGTTTTGTTGCTTAATGCTTATTATTGACCATATTAGAACTTTGCAGTTTTCTGGCTTCTGCAGTTTCAAGAGCAAAATTCACTTCATCATAAGCACTCACAATTTACTATGATTCTTTTGCATTAAGGAACACAAAAGGATATCCTAATATCCCTCCTCCCTCCCCCCCCCCCCCCCCCAAAACACACACCCACCCACCCACCCACCCACCCACACACAAAAAAAAAAAAAGGTACAATTTAAAAACTAGTATTTGGAAACACATAAAATCCTCTTATTTATTTTGCCTCTAGCTCTCACTTTTAGTTCTATATATACCAGTTTAATTTGAACATCTGGTTTATATTTTGACTTGGATTTTCAAAGCTCTTGGTGTTCCTCTCCTGCCCCTTGCCACAAATTACTTCTGGTTACATTCTTCCATGTGTATATAGCACCTTGATCACTTTCTGTTTGACTGCTGGTGCACTGAAGTTGAAGTCATTGTAAAACTTTGATATACTATTTAGTATGAAGTACTATCTTAATTAAAGAAGGGATGAATATTAACCCTCACTTCTTACTTTCTAAGATACATTTGAAGAGCCATTGAAGGCTTAATATTGAAACACATATTGTTATCCATTGTGTAGATAATTTGAACCCTAGTCCCTCTAATTCTTTTCGTTATGAACAAGAACTCTAGTGGTTTTGTAGTAAGCCATTTTCATCTAGTAATTCATAGTTCCTGGTGATAATATATTTCAAGTGTGTATGTTCTACCCTTGACTCGTAGCGTTTTTATTGTGTTACTTGTTCACTTATCTGCTTCGCTGCTTGATCCTAATGAAGGCATACTTAATTGGAGCTGCTTATATCTATATGAAAAAGGGTGCCTAATAGAATTATCCTCTTGGTTGTATTCACTTGCTATACTCTTGATTGTGATTTTTCTTTCAAAAAGAGCTGCTTGGCTTGAGATGAAAATTAAGGTGGCTCATTATATAGGTTTATAATGTTGCATCAATGTTCAAAATCTGCTTAAGAATTATTTGTTTCTTCCTCCCTCAGTTATGTATCAACTAATGTTAGTCTACAACTGTCCTTTGGTATCTTGTAGGTTTCTGAGCCCACTATCAGTGGTTCCCTTGATATCTCTGGTTGGCTTCGGACTCTATGAACTTGGTTTTCCTGGGGTAGTATTTCAGTGTCAATCACTTCTTTATCTTCTCTTTTTCTCTAGCAAAGTTGTTTGCATTCCCTCCAGTTGCTTTTATTTTCTGTTTATCATCACTGATGTAGGTGTTTTCCTGCTTCTTCAGGTGGCAAAGTGTGTGGAGATTGGCTTGCCAGAGCTTGTGCTTTTAATATTTATTGCAGTGGTAAGATTATTAACCACACAAAACTAGCACCTCGTGGTTGAATTTGGGAGTTGAGAATTATACATCTTCAATCTTCTATTACATAATAATTATTTGGCTTCAATTAATTAATTCATCCACGATTTATTTTGCAGTATCTATCACAAGCCACGAAATTCGGGAAGCATGTTTTTGAACGCTTTGCTGTTCTGATCTCTGTGGCTATAGTTTGGCTATATGCACACATTCTTACGGTGGGTGGAGCATATAATCATGCTGCACCAAGGACTCAGATAACATGTCGTACTGACAAATCTGGACTTATAAGTGGTGCTCCATGGTAATATATTGTTTTTTTAAGAAGTTTTTAAGTGTTACACCTCTTTTCAAATATTTTTCTTTGTAAATGGTGCTATGCATGGGGATTGGGGAGGGAGTTTTTAAACCTTGAGCTTGATTAACAAGTTCTTAATTGCAGTTAACTCCTATTCATGTTAAATTTAAACTGTCCTATGAACTGGCCATGATGCAAGAAATTATATGGTGTTGTCTGAACACTTGAGGTGAATTTCCGCAGAACCATCTAATACTCTCTGATCTAACGTTGCAGGATTAGAGTTCCATACCCCTTTCAATGGGGTGCACCCACATTTGATGCCGGTGAAGCCTTTGCTATGATGTTGACATCTTTTGTTGCTCTTGTCGAGGTATGTTTAATTTTTATCTTTTGCTGTAATATGTGGAAACTACTGAAAAATGAATGTTCACTTATCAGGGCCCTGTGAAAAGCTTTAATGAGATTTAAATCACCAAAATTTTACAGTGTTTAAATCTTAAATGCAGTTGGCCCATCTTGTGTCTTATTTTAGATTGACTTGATTATTTTATAATGTACGAATGGTTCTTATTCCATTTGCAGTCCACTGGTGCCTTCATCGCAGTTTCAAGGTCGGCTAGTGCAACAATGATGCCTCCTTCTGTTCTTAGTCGTGGTGTTGGTTGGCAGGTAGAATACAAGATATTACCCTTGCCTTCAACTTACATAAGATATTGTTTATTTGAAATCCTTGTTTTTCTTGCAAGTAAGCTTTTTAACTAGATAGCTTATATCTAAAATCTCTCTTCTTGACAGGGAGTTGGCATTTTGTTGTCTGGATTGTTTGGAACCGGGATTGGGTGCTCCGTTTCCGTGTAAGACTAAGACATCTTTTTTTGTACTTGGTGTGCATGTAAATTATTGGATAAATTTTTATAGTATCAATTTTGTTTAGTAAGGAAACTTCTTCTTGGGTGTTTTATGCAGCGAGAATGCCGGTCTCTTAACTCTGACACGTGTTGGTAGTAGACGGGTTGTCCAAATATCAGCTGGCTTTATGTTATTCTTTTCCATTCTAGGTGTGTATATCTAATACTAATTATGTGTTGTGGTAGTAGGGTCAATTTAATTCTCTTTTGATTCCTTATCGTACATGATATTGCAGGGAAATTTGGAGCTGTGTTTGCTTCAATTCCTTCACCAATAATCGCTGCCTTGTACTGCCTCTTCTTTGCCTATGTTGGTAAGCATATGTGGTTTGACAATATAAAAGCGAAAACTACCATAGAACATTTAATTCACTTACTATGTATAACATATTAACATGATCTTAATTTGATGCAGGTTCTGTTGGTTTGAGCTTCCTTCAGTTCTGCAATCTCAACAGCTTCCGTACAAAGTTCATATTGGGATTCTCCATTTTCTTGGGTTTGTCAATACCTCAATACTTTAACGAGTATGAAGCAATTAAGGGTTTTGGGCCTGTCCATACAGGCGCAAGATGGGTAATGCTTGATTTTATTATATTTTTTTTATTTGCTCTTTGATCTATTGTGGGCTTCAATTATTCTTAGCCTACAGGATAAGTGCTCATTTCATGTGGTTGTCAAAATGACAGTTTAATGACATGGTGAACGTCCCCTTCTCTTCGGAAGCATTTGTTGCGGGAATTGTAGCATATTTCTTAGACAACACCCTGCACCGGAAAGAAGGCGCAGTGAGGAAGGACAGGGGTAAGCATTGGTGGGATAAGTTCCGGTCTTTCAAGGGAGACACTAGGAGTGAGGAATTCTATTCTCTCCCCTTCAACTTGAACAAGTATTTCCCATCTGTGTGATTTAGTCTCCTGGGTATCAAAGAGGTATCACTAAAAAGCATGAGTTTTCCTCGAGTATGATGATGGTCTTGCTCTATAGTAATCATTGTTTGATCAAGTAACTTACAACAATTGCAATATGCTATAGTTCTCAGTATAAATTAGTTTGTTACTTTTTGTAGGATTCCTTTAGGACAATTATTTGTTTCTTTCTGTGTTGTAAATCCAATGTATTAGTTGTAACAAAGCAAAGCAACAAAGGAAACAAGGCCAATGGTTTATGAGTTTCCCACCCTTGCTCTTGGATATCCTACTAATCCAAGCTACAGAAACAAGCAAACAACTCTGCTTCTGCAGATCTGCTGATCCAGACTCATTACCAAATCATGAATCGGGATTATAATGAGGGTGTTGTGTGATGTTCCCCTTGAATTCTTCAAAATCGGCTGAACTGACAGTAAATTTGCAGTCCTGCTCGTTCATCAAATAGATGTGTCATCTTCAGTGCCATCATTGAGAATTATACGGGGATGCAAGAGTATATGTGAGCTCATAAGTGATTATTGGACCTCCCTTGTGGAAGTTATAACTAGTTTTGCTACAAGCTGTTCAGATTCATTCAGATTGATGTATGAAGTACTAGTACTACGTAGTTAAAATTTCTAGTGTCGTGTATTAGTATAAATTTATTTATCCTGGAAGTGGAGTAGAAACACAAAATAACAGTAAGTTCTTTAAATATTCTATTTTGTGTGCCTAATGTGTTTTTTTTTTTTTTTTTTTTTAAAAAAAAAAAATAAATAATCACGAATGAAAGTTTTCAACAAAAATCCAATCAATGTGTTTCCATTCATTTAATCAATTATTATGAGCAAACATTCAAACAATTGTCAAAACATAATTAATGTTATCTCGATAAAGTTATGTGAAATAAAATAGTTTATGTGAATAGTTCATAATATAAAGTTAAAGGAGCATCTAAAGGAATTAGATAATAAGGAACATATGATTTGATTCCAGCATTATGGAGAAATCAAAAAGTTCACATATAAAGATATAATCAAAGTAAGATCAGTAGTCGAGTTGATATTGATAGGATGAACATTTTTGTTCAACTCCCACAATCAAATCTTTTACACAATCAATTATATTGATTGATCGGATAAACTGAGGGATCTAGAATAGTCAATAACCCATTTAAGTCGAGTATAGAAGAAGAATATTATAGGTAGGTGTTGTGTCTGGCCCATTTCTCCGGCTTCATTATTCATGATTGAACTGTAATTGATATACATCATACCAATGTAACCTATAACATTGTTGTAGTTTCTTGTCTACGACGTACGGATTACTTACCAAGTACGTGCTCCTGCTGCAAACACCTCAAACTTCACCTTTGTAGACTTCAAAGGGCTCATAGGCTCGCTGCTATGTTACATACAATCCATGTCTTTGCAGGGTTCTCCTTGTGCTTGCCATGACAGAAAATGTGGCATCTGGTGCTTAGAACCACGAATCTCTTAAGAACCCAATTCAAGCAACAAATACTTCTGGTGTTTGATGGTGAACAGGTTCCTTAAATTCCGCTTTCTCACTAAGTTCTTTAAAAGCTTCAACAAGATTTTGGAGCCTCGCAACAAATTCAACCAAAAGGGAAGAAAAGGTTGCTAAAGATAAAGCACTTGCACTCTCATAAGTCTTTGACTCATCTTGATTTCGTTCCTTATTTTCATCAACGGACAACAGTGGAGCAGGCAAAGATGCCTGCTTCCTGTGGGTTCCATGGTTGTTTTCACCATCAAGGCTTGTATGTAGTGCTTGAAGGTCACTGACTGACTTCACTTCTGGCATTGCACTTTCATAATCTGCTGTCAGGAAATCTGGAGTTTGTCCAGGATTTTGAGGATTTCCAATCTCCCAAAACTCTGAATTGACAAGAAGATATGATTTTTTGTCAATTTTCTTTTGTAATGTTTCTACTGCTTCATCCACTTCGTAAAGTATATCTTCTTCTGGACCTAACTTTTCCATTCTTTTTATTCTGTTTCCCAGTTCACGCAGCACTTTAGCACCTTCATTACCGACTTTCTGAAGCTCACTACGGAAAATCTGTCTTCTTTCAGGAGGCGCCTAATGTATGAAGAGAAAAGGAAACCAATGAAATAACATAATATTGTAGCCACATAAAGAGTGGTTAGCTGGGTAGGGAGATAGCGGTAACTGATGAGCCACATACAAGAAAATAAAATGATTTTCAAACAATCAATTAATCACAGATGGATTTCGTTATAATACTCGTGTGAGTTGAACGCCTCTAAAACAAATAGCTTAAATTTTATTAGTCCTTCAAAAGTTGAATTTTATGCAAAATTCCTATTCTGTTTAACTCTTTATTCGGCTGAGAGGTGCAGGTGTAGGTGTTGGCAGTTAAAATGAAGATCCAAGAAAATTACACCTTCACTTTGCCATTGAAATTGAATGCCAAGAGAATGGGTTTGCCTCTTTGCATTGGCTGTGTTTATACAAATGTTACACAATCCAATGTAAAGCAGCATTGAGGAGGGCTAGATAATGCAGCCTCACTCCTGAAGACTACTTGCCTTAGTTGATTATTGAAAAGACATAAGCTGTTTTCCAGCTCAGAATAATGAATAGATGATACATACAAGTGGGACAGCTGACTCGGCTTCAGTTAAGTAGCTAACCACTCAATTTGCTAATACCAATTCATTCAACTTTCTTGGAAGAACACTCCGACCAAGATTGAAGTCAACATATGACACAGAATTTTTATAAGGACTTTGACACAAGACCCCAAAAAATCGAAGAGAATTTTAAGCAGAAGAGTTAGCATACAAACCTGAATCTCAGAAAGTATACAGCCATGCATGGCCATGACCATAAATGCACAATGCCTCAGAGCTCCGCTTACTTTGGTATAGGATTTCCATGGATATGTAAGCATTTTGTAAGGACCGTGAGGTGGTTCCCAGATAGCAAAACCTACCTACACATTCAGCAAACAAGAAGAGCGTTCAGTACCAAATAAGTGTTAATAGAAGAAGATGCATTGAAAAATAAGCAAAAGACTTGCCAAAGTTTCCTCCTGACTTGCTGAATCTACAGCTGACCTATACCCACTATAAAGTGGATCATCAGAAGCTTGAAATGTAAGAATTTTTGAGGGGACTCGAGTATATTCAACACAGCTCAGATATCCATTCACAACACCTACAGAGTAGCTTAGCATGAGTTATTCAAGAATGACAAACTTGGTGTTGAAACATGAAAGACAAGAGGCAAAGCATACACTTAATAATCAATTTTAAAGCATTTGCATTACTGTCTAAGAAAGTATGCAATCAAAAGACATGAACAAAACATTAACAAACCTTCTAAAGAAACTGCAACATTCATAAAGTTCTTCACCACCAAGTTGTGCAGATCCTCTCCAGCCCATATCGGGTATATGCAGGTGTTTATCAACAATGAAACAGCAGCACCCAGTGCAATAAGTATGAATCTAGTAGCAGCTGTATTGACAAATTCCCTTGTTCTATACCCAGACACCATGATGAAGCAGTATGTCAACAGGAAAACTCTAAATCCATACTCATAAGGCTTCATTGTAGGATAGAGTTTCATATAGGTGGCAATAAATCCTACCATTGTGCAGAACCATAAAAGGAAAATAGCTTAGAATAAATATAAGAGTGAGACTTTAGCTAAAAAGTCACTGTTGCTAGTATTATACCTATAATAAAGATGCTAATGATAATTACAAGTTCTTCCCAATCTCCAGCTAAAGTTGACAACATTGCCATGCCCAGAGCAAGTCCTCCAGCCGATAATGTCCCCAATCCACGATTGAATCCCTTGCTAAGGGTTGCTCCTAGAAATGCATCACAAACATGTCAGCATAACAAAGTTGACAAATATCAAGACGATCTAATTTCATACTAAGGATCAACTATCTAACCGACCAAAAAAAAAAAAAAGGCATTTATCATGATTTTTTTTTTTTTTTTTTGGAATAAAAATGTTTAGTATACATGTAATCATAAGCTCAAGGGCATCTAATTCATCTATTGGATTACTCTGATTATGATAAAATAAAGTCATGAACTAATGAAATTTCAAATGGACTTAATTTAAAGAAAACTGCGGAAAAAAAAGAAGGAAATGCCAACCCAATTAAATGTATAGCACTAGCTAAAAGGGCTATAGATGATCTATAATATCCTAGCATACAAAATCATGAAATGGCCTTACCAATTTGCCATAATCTAACCCTAAATTCATAATCTACAAGATTACTGAACCTAACCCGAACAATGCACGATTTCTAACCTAAAATGTAGCGGTGTAGGCACAACTTTGCATGAGCAAGTTCCCCTTTAATATAACAACATCCTCTTTTTAACATTTTTTTTTTACCTTAGATTCAATGCAAATTAATGAGGAAGAACAAAACACATCCAAATATTCCCCTTATTCTTTAGATTCAAAGGTAAGCCTTAATTGCATAACAGAGATTATAACCCAAAGCAAAGTACTCATAATAACTTATTCACCGCTCAATTTGACAATGCTAATCCTAAAACAGCAGCAATTTCTAATCATTGCAACAATTTACAAGAACAATTAGAAATTAAATTAGGGTTATACAATAGTAATTCACCAATTAGCCATATCATACAATTACACTAAGGAACAAAACCCCACAAATTCCAAACAAACAAAGATCATATAACAACCAATTAATGGGAAAATTTTAAACTTCTTGATGATTACATGAACTGGGTTTTGCACAAACAGCATAAAACATCAATAAACAGAATAAAATCACATATTTATCAAACTTAATCACAATCATAATATAACTCCAAACAAAAAAATCTCAATAATCAAACAAAAGTATTCAAAAGATTACCAATACTAAATTCAAAGACGACAACAACAGTAAGAATCGCCCAAACAGAGTAACGCCCAAGATCTTCAAATGGCTTCTTCAGAAAAATCAGAAACGAAAGAAGTGTTAAAGCAAGACCCATTTTCGCAGAAAAAACCACTTTTCTAGGATCCGATTTTCCCATTTGAAAAGCTTTTACGGTAAATTCTCGAAACCCATTACACCAATTTACAAACTTATGTTGTAAAGAAACGAAACAGTTTGTATGTTGTTGATGTTGGTGTTGTTGATAATGTTCATCTAAGAGAGGAAGACCCAAAGAAGATGGGTAATCTTTAGAGAGATTTTTCTTCTCTCTCCTCTCTGCAAAAGAGTATCGGAATGATCCCAGTTTTGCTGTCGCCATTGAAGGTGAAGTGAGTGATGAACAGAGTGAAAAACAATAAAAGAGTGAATGAGAAGATCGCTTAAAAGGAGAGAACCGCAATTATACGAGATATCTAGATTCATTCATTTTGCGTGTAATATAATATTCCCTCCGTTCTTTTTCATTGCCCGACCTCCGAAGAATGTTCCTTTAAAGACTACCCCATTTTTTTATTTGATGATTTTTTTTTTCGAGTTTAAGTGTTTTACGTAGTGTTATCTTCACTTGAATTTTATCCTATCTTAATTGATATAAAATTATCAATCCTTATCTTAACCTTTTGCCGTTCACTTATAGTTGCAATGTTTGATTTGTGAAATTTTAAATAGAGAGAAATCTAATAGGATCTCGACTTTTAGGTACAAGTGTATTATTGAGTAGTATCTTGTTAATATGAGTTACAAGTATACATCAAATCCCTTTAAAGCAATCATGAAAAGTATTACAGATTTTCTAACAATAGCAAAACCTTAGTTCCAAATAATTGGGTCAGTTAACATGAATGCCATAGGGATTCATTTTCTAAAAATAGAACGAATAAAGATAGGTGATAAAATAAAGAAGAAAAAAGCCATAGAATTCAAATAGAGTGATGGAAATTTTAAGTGAAAACCAAAAAGAGGATATAAAAATTAACATTTAAGAAAGATTTATAAAACAGGCCTAAAGCAGAGGTGATCAAACTGAGCTTGACCCAATTTTGGGCGGGCTATGGACATAAAAATTCGACCCGAAGTCAGGTTTGGCCTGGCTAAAATAGCATTTCAAACTTTTTTAGCTGGTTTTTTTTGTTCGGCCCAAAATGGCTCGAAAACTTCACTAGGCCCAATCAAAAGTTACGGGTTTTGAGCAAGCATTTTCGGCCCATATTTTTGGACTGATATTTTAGCTTTTGGCCTAGCCCGACGTGTCCCAGATCACCTCTAGGCCAAAAGGTTATAATAAAAGAAGGAAAAACATGCAAGTATAAACACAGGAAATTTTTTTTGAAAAAACCTTAAAAGAGGAAATATATAGAGTTAACAAAACAAAATGAGTTAAGTTAAAAAGAAAAAAGGTTTATTTCGTATTTATTAAAATTTGACATGTCCTAAACGTAGATCTTTTTCCCTTAATGTCGTGTTTCAAGTCATGTTTGGTTAAGTGATTTTTATATGATTTTTAGCTTTTAGAGGTTTGATCCAATTGAGTGTTTGGTAAATCACTTATTGAAAGAGTTTTTCGGGATAAAAAAAAAATACTTCGTATTTTAGAAAAAAGGTCATAATGATGCCTTTTGAAATTAATTTATTGAACCATTAGCCTTTTGTGTTATTAAATGCATTGAAACAGTCAAACTCTTTTACACAACCAGCTATTCAAATAAGTTAATACAACCAGTTAGCTAAGCTAGTTAATACAATCAACTACTAGCTATGCCTTCCTCTATCTTCAAAAGACTTTTATCTCTCTCAATCACCGCTCAATGGCGCTCATCAAGATTTTTTTAGGTCTTCCCCCATCCCTCGCGACGAATTATTTGCCACTATTCGATCAAGTCTTCTTACCAGAGTTGTGCTATATATTTTCGATCAAGTCTTCTTACTAGAGTTGTGCTATATATTTTTTAAGTCGTCGTTCACTCAACATTGTACTGTTAGCAAAGTTGCTCAAATAAGGTGTAATGGACTTTCCAACATAAGAATAAATAGAAATTTAGTATATAGATAGGCTTTAAGTGTGTGAGATGTGGCCTGTGGGTTTATTTGTGAATATAGAACATGATAGGATTGAGGTTAAAGTGGCTACTTATTAATGCCTACACCCTAGTGTAGGTAAATATACCTACACCCTCCCGCCCCCCCTCCCCCACCACCAACTTACCTCCCTCCCAAATAGAGTCTCTCCAAAAAAAAATACAGATTATATATATCACCATTGTTATCCTCTAAAAAGCTTCATTCTATGATTTATCTCTCCAAAAACCATTATCCTTTGTTTTCTCTCTCCAAAAAATTTCATCATATCTATTTTCTCTTTCCAAAAACCTTCATCCTTAATTTTCTCTCTCTAAAAACCTTCATATTTTTCATCATAGAAGTTAATCATCATCTACTCATGTCACTTCTTATGGGAGCTTCATTGTTGACGCAAATTATTGATGAGGTACTAATTTCTCTCTCCTTTTTTCATTTCAATGATTTGATATAATTGTTAAATATTGTTTTGATTACTCTAATTTTTTCCCCAAATTTATTGTCAAATCATAGAAAAAAAAATTAATATATTGGTTGAATTAGTTTATGATGTGTTATTATATTATATAATTATTAGACATAAATAATTGAAAACAGAGTGTTGTTGTTGTAATTTTCTGGATAATTTGATATATTTCGTCAGATTATTGAGATGTAAATTTAGTTTAGTGTGGAATATAATTGTTGAAGAATGTTCACTTTCGTTATGATAGATGTTCATTAGCGTATTAGTAAATGATCATTTGCATATTAATATATACGAGCATTAGATTTCTTATATATGTTCATATTATCGTCATCTTCATCAAAAATTTTCTTTAGAATTAAAGATTTTGAGTAAGAGTTTGTGACTTATACTTTTTTGTGGAAGTAAGTGATTCTTATAATTGTAATTGAATTATGTTATTGTTTGATATTCTCTAATGTTATGTTAAGGCGAGATTTTATGTTATTAATTGTGTAAAATTTGTTCTAGTTCTTATGATTGTTATGACTAATAATGAAAATTTCTTTTTTATATCATCCATTCTCATATTGATAAATGCTCATAATGATCTATATATTTTCATTCACATATTAATTGATGGCCATTCAAATTTTGATAAATAATGTTCATTTGGATTGTTATATATGTACATTCTCATATTGAAAAATAGTCACTTAGATTTAAATGCACGTTCATTTCATTCTCATATTTAGAATGAGTCTCATTTGGATATTGATACTACATTCATGTAAATTGTTTATTAATAGATGTTATTCAAATATTAATACATAAATTATTCATCCTTGCTTGGATATATGTATATTCACATATTTATATAATGCTCATATGTAAAAATCATAAGGAATTATGAAATTATTTGCCACTGAAAATTGAATATAGAGTATAATTGTGCTAATTTTCTGAATTAGTTGAGCTTTCGTAGAATTATTGAGATTTGAATTAGTTTATAGTGAATTTGACTTTTGGATAAATGTTTATTTTCATTTTGATAGATTTTCATTTTGATAGATGTTTATTATGATATTAGTATATGATCATTCACATTCTTACCTTAGATAAGATCAACTACGGTCTAGTCTTGAGAGAAGACTACCCTAACTTTGTTTATGATAATTCAGATATTAATAAATGTATAATGGGATTTAAACAAATGTACATTTAGATTTAAATACGTACATATTCATTCTCATACTGAAGATATTCACATAGACTATAATAATACATGTCCAACTTCATATTAAATTAATATATACATACATTTCAACTCTAATATTGATATATAGAGGTTTATTCGAATATTGATGCATAGATGTTCATTTGGATAAGTGTATATCACACATATATTAATGTATGTTCATTCACATATCAGAAAGTGTTCAAGAATAAATCACATATTATTCATTCATCTAGAAAATGTATTATTTTATTACTTTACAGTGTGTTCATTTTTGAATTCGTTATTGTTATTCATTCGTAAATGTTCAATTTTGAATATCTAGATTTCATGTACTTTTGTTTGGAATGTGTTCATGGTTGTTATTTTTTTTTTTTTTGAAACACGTGATCTCTTACTGTACATGATAATCAAGTAAGGAAGTTGAAAGCGACAAATATATTGTGCTCATTGGATTGAATTTTTCATGGAAAACACACAATATTATATGATTAGAGGTGCAACAAGCTAAGGAGGATATATCTATATAGACGACACTTTATTATACCAAATGTAACAATAAATAATGTTCAATTAACAAGACACATGTATATTTAGGATTTAATGGTTCACTTTCATGTTTATGAAACAATTACATGAAATAGAATAGAAATGTGTTATTATTGTAATAAAATTAAACTTATTTTATATTGGAAATTATTTTTTAACAACGTTTTATTTAAATAAATAGAATTTTTAGATGTATGTACTTATTATATTACTTACACTGTTACACATTGTTCTTGAAATGAACATTTGATGATACAAAAATGAACATCTATTGAAACATAAATAATGAAAAATGAACGTTTGATGATGCAATACTTCTTATAATAAAAATGATTTGAGTGCAGTAATCCTTATAAATAAATTTGCTCTTAGTTTTATTTATAGAAAATTCTAAAAATACAATTCAGAAAATATACGAAGTATTAATTAGAACAAAAAAACTCCTTGCTAAAAGATGAACATCTAATAGTACAAAAATGAACATTTATAAATACAGAAATGAACATGTTATAAAAATTTATAGGAAATTCATAAATGAAAAGGGGAGGATGGGACATAGGCAGAGGGTGTGGGGGGTGCAGGCAATGTTCCCTAACTCGGGGTGTAGGTAAAAATTTGTATTAAGTGGCAGTACATAGTTTCAAGTCTTGGGCTCACAAGTCACGAGTCATAACTTGTTGTTAGCCCACGATTTGGCTGGTAGTCATAGTAAGCGGGAATATAGTTCTTGTAGTTCGTATTATACTTTCTCCATTCACTTATAATTGCAATATTTGATCTGTGAAATTGTAAATAAAGGCGAATCTAATAGGATCCTCACATCTAGGCTTAATTGTTGAGTATCTTGTTAGTACGAGTTATACATCAAATCCTTTTAAGCAATCATGGAGAGAGTATTACACATTTATACAGTTATACTCATTGGTAAAAAAAAAAAAAAAAAAAAAAAAAAAAAAAAAAAAAAAAGTGATTATTAGGGCTAAGCTAGTTAGGAGTGCAACTAGTTGGTTTGGGATTCATTTTGAAAGGGTTATCCGTTATTAGGATAGTGTAAATGGCCCAAAAAGACACTTGTTTGTATGCCCCTTAGTTCAGTTATCTAGCCATTCGAGTGGACTTACCTTATCATAACTTATCTATTTTTTTTTTTTTTTAGTTATGTATAGGTTATTTTTTAGTTGACCCATTTAATTAATATGATCCAAAAGCTCACCTCAAACTTGGAACAAGTTTGGATCGAATCGGGT